AAATGAAAAAAAGAAAATGGATAATTTATTAAGTGGACTACTGTGCAGCTGTCAAAATTAATGGTGTAGATTTATAGATCTCCATGATAAAGTGTTAAAATAATAAACAAAAGGAAAAATTATATACAGTGATTCTGATTTTCAAAACTAAAAAACAAAACTCTGTGGCCCTGGCTTGATAGCTCAGTAGGTTCCAGCATCATCTCCATATGCCAAGGTTGTGTGTTTGATTCCCAGCCAGGGAACATAACAATAATCAATCAATGAATGCATGAATAAGTGGAACAACAAATCAATGATTCTCTGTCTCTCCCTCTCCCTCTTTTTGCTCCCTCTTTCTCCACCCCCCAAAAAAAAGGAAAAAGAAAAAAAACTCTCTATATTTACAGATATATAGATTTATATCAGCATGGGGAAAAATCTAAAAAGATATAAAAATTTAGCAGTGGTTTTATCTTCATGGGTGAGATTAGGATGGAGAGGACTTTTCTCTTTATGTGCTTCTCAACTGCTTGAATTTAAGAGCATGCATACCTTTGTAATTAAAAATAATGTTTAGAAAACATAATAAACAAAACTAAAAATAAAAATGGGAATAAAAGGTGTACATATATAGCATTTTCTCAGGAAACTGAGGATATGATCCCTATAGTCCTATAGTCCCTTTTAGCTGGTCATATATATCACACACATATGAATGAAATTACATAGTCTATCTAGAGATTCTATCTATATATATTATGTTTGATCATTTTAAGTTAACTTTCATTTATATTTATTTTAAAAACAGGGAGATAAATAACTAAAGTTTCTTCTCATTTTTGAACTCAAGCAAGTAATTAGTGAAGTTCTAGTGAAGCCCCACTGTATTTGACATTTCATCCAGCAGCCTATTGTCTGTCTAGTCCATTACTTAGTCAGATTTTATATGTGAATATATATGAAGTCCATTTTATCTATAGGAAAAAAATGTTTGGTACTGACCAGCATAGCAAATATATCAGGAACCTGAATGGTAGGAATTAACCTGAGTCATATTTTTACTATACATCATGTAAATACAATGTTGGCTATTTAAAATCACAAAACGTGAAAAGAATGACATCTCAACATCACAGGCAGATTCAAAAGAGTAAGGCTTTAAAAGGTACAAAATGCAAGCTTTTACTCAACCAACTGAAAGCCTGTTAAATTTCCTTACTCTCAGTTTAAAGCCAGGAAACCAGCTCTCTACATTTTAATTATCTGCAAACAAACACATTTTGTGGGCTGAAGAAACAGATACCTATAATGACAATTCTGCACTTGGTGGTACAAAAGAACTCTGCCTGCCAATATCATATGACAATAGATATCTCTAATCCTTCCCAGACTTGCTTTGATCCCTATATTTCTGGTCCCCTTGGGAGAGGCAAAGCAGCACTCTGCATGAACCCTCCATGGTGAGCTCTCACTAACAACTCTTATTTCACTTCCTATCTTACATATTATCAATTCTCACCTTACAACAATCCCCCTAATGTAATCACCCTTCTTTCATCCACCCGCCAACCCCACCCAAGGCAAACAGATTTGAGTTTTTAATAATGGAAGAAATAGTGGCTACAAGAAGGTAAACTAAGGCACATTTTCAGGACATGTGGGAAACAGGAAAGGCCCTGAGAAGTTGGACAGGGGCAAGGGGACCATACACTGTTCCCTTTGAAAACACCCTGGCTCAGCTTCAGACAGGCAATAAAATTTTACTGGCTGATGTTCTGAATCAGCCTTCAGCATCTGATTTCTATGTTGTCTTCCTCCGCAATGACAATTAACTCAAAGTTAGTACTGAATTAAAATGACTTTGCCATAAACTACAAGATGTGAAATCAGCATCTCTTACATTTACCACTTTTCTCCATGAAACAGAAGGTGGTAAAAAGGCGAAATGAGAACAAAGATGTCATGGTACAGAATAGAATAGGTAAAGGAAAACAGACATTCAGTCCCTTAAAATAATGCACGAGCTGTTTCTGTCAGGAATTTAAAAAAAAAAAAGGAATAACGTGTTACATAATTTGAGTTTCATGAATCAGCAGTTTAGTCAGTAATTTACATGAATTTAAAAAAAGAGAGACGGAGAAAACATGAGGATTGGAAAAGGTAAAGTGGTTTCTGAAACAAGGCAGGTTTCAAAAGTATTTTATTCCACCCCCATACAAAAGAACGTTGAAAGGCAGATGACTCAGTGTGACTTCGATAAGGGGGTTTCTTCCACCTAATCTCTCTTATGGCAAAAGCCATCTCATCTCCCATTTTTTCCGTTCTCAATTTCTCCCACCAGGTAATGGGCATATTTTCTTCTCTAATTGAAGGTTTTCCATCTGGAGGTCACATATTTTAGATCACAGAGAGTTATACTTAAAGGATATAAATAGTTGAAGGTTTTTTCATTTTTGTTTTTTTAAAATGATTTATATTAAAGTAACTGCAACATTTTGAAAAACACAGTAGTAATGTCAGATGCTTCAAAAAATTACAATATGTAGGATCATTGTGTTTGAACTTGACTGCATTCTAAGTAGTTCAATTGAGTTCATGGAAAACCTAGAGTGATTTGTAGTCCATAAAAATGACCTTAACTGAGCAGGGTAGGTAAGAAAGTTGTCAACATAAACCCTAAAACTATGTGTCCAATCTAAACTCTCTCCAGATCAGAGGGAAAAAGTAGAATGTTTGAGAGAAAACATTCAATTTATTCTCTTTTTCAAAAACCAGAGATGACAAATCCTAAGAAATGAATCCAAAGGGCATTCTCATCCCTTTTACAGAAAATATGTGTATCAGATAGGTATTGTTTAAAATAACAGAAGGACATTGGATTAGGCCTGGATTTCTTTTAGGCACAAATTAATTAGGGTATTTGAGAGCTGTATGTTTTGAAAGAGCAAGAAATATGAAGTCATTTGGAGTTATTCATTCCACAAATGTTTATTACAGGCTGGCATGTGCCAGGCACTGTCCACGTACCTGCTCTCTATTCAAGCACTGCTTCTTACCAGCTATGCAGTACTGGCCAAAGATTTTTAACATTTCTATGCCTCAGTTTCTTCACTGTGGCTACCAACCTCAAAGGTCTCTCTGAAGAGCAACTAAATATGTCTGCAAGCGCTTTGTAAGCCTTGAAAGTGTTAGTTGTCATTTGGTTGAATTGAATTCATGAAATCCACTAATGTCTGTTGTGCCATGAATTGTATCAGAGGAAAGTGAGCCTTCCTGCTTCCAGAAGACACTCCATAATCCTATTAAATAAGGCTTAGAGTCTCATTTAATCATCTCCCTGGAAATGTAAATATATGAAAGAGAGATTCAGAAAGCTAGTATGATGTGCATATCTTAACATTAGATTCATAACACCATAATAACAAGAACCATGTCTATTTTTTTCACTAATCTGACTATCAGGCCAAGGCTCTCCTTTAAAGAGGGCACTTGATTCTAGAAAAATATTTTCTCTATATATCTGCTAATCACAAAATGGACACCTACAAGGTTAAAAAGTTTCTATTTTACAGTGCATTTCACTTTCAACCTGACCTGTTAGATCAACTGTCAAACAGATTAGGAACAAAACTCCTTTTAAAACCCAAATTAGGCTCCATGTAGTGGCAGTTGAAAAAAGAAGGAAGTTCTGGTCTCTCCAGAGTTAGCTAACAGGAGCACGATGGCAGGTAAGAAAGACAATCTTGTAGAAGACACTAAGGATCTGGCTGGCTGAAATTTGGAAGGAAGAGTCCAAAAGAGGGGGTAGCTCCAGACTACCTTCCCCAGGGAGCGGAGGGGTGGTGGCTTGTCTCTAAGAGAGCGGTAGCCAAGGGCCCAGAAGGCATCAGCAATACAAAAAGTCTGAAACTTCCTCTCTTGTTTCTAGTTTTTTGCAGTGACATTGGGGAACTGAAGAACGCACAGCAGTGCTTCATTGCTAGAACCGCTATAATTTAGTATCTGAGTTAACACTTTGAATTAATATTTATAAAACACTCATAACGAGTTCAGCACATAGTAAGGGCTATCAAAGTGTTTTTTGAATAAATAAGGCACTTTCAGATTAGCTGGGTGATTACTCAACCTAATGGCAAAAGTAGAGAATGAAAATACACAACACTCGAACTTTTTTTTTTTACCTCGATAAACATTCAGAAAGTTCTCTGCATTTATTCCTGCATTTCAAGTGGACCCTATACCGTCTCTTGTGCAGGGTCGAAATTCTATTCTTGGTTCAGAAATCACTGTGTAAAATTAAATAATAAAGAGTTTAAATCGCAAGAGACAAATTCTTTCTCTTTTTTCTTTCCAAGTAACCACCACGAAAAATGACCAAATTAAAAAATCTCAAAGCACTTCTATATAGTACATACCAATAAGAAAACTGTGGGAATCAATAGTCAAATTCACTTGATAGAAGAGTTCAAATCACAGAGAACTTGAAGGGTAGCAACGCACTTAAGTGTGAGACTACAGGCCAGGGATAACAGGTTAGGGACTCCCACTCTCTCCACTCCCGAGGCCTCCTCCATCCCGTCCTCGCAGGTGACCCGCAACCACTTCCCACTTCAGGCGGGGTCTCCCCACCCTCCGGGTCCCCGGCCCCTCCGCTCTCTGTAGCTGTGCACGGATTAATTAGCGATGCCCCTTCACTGACACCAATCGTGGGTGTAGGAATCAAAAAGCAGAATCGGAATTCACCTCAAGGAAACAAAGCGTACAAACTCCCGGAGTCGGGGCTGGGCGGGAGTACTTTTCCCTCCTGATCAACTCGGAGGTTTCCGGGCTCAGGGTTGTGGGGAGCTGCCAGGGCACCCGGGAAAGGCACGTCTGCTCCGAGGGCAGGCTGCAGTCGAGGCCCGGGAACTCCTCGCCCCGCCCCGTCTCTCCCGCCAGGGAGCCTCCGCCGGCGGCCGGACGTGCGCGGCCCCTGCGGTCTGCTCGCCAGCCCCGGGTCCAGGCTGCCCCGCACCTACCCGGCTCCGCGGTGCTATCTCCCAACACGGCAGGCGCTGGGCGCCGGGCGCACTCGCGCTTCCTCCTTCCCGGCAGGGCCGCCGGGCGCCGGCGTTTCCTCCCTGACGCGTCACGGCTGCCTGCAGCTTCTTCCGCAGAGTACGCGGGCTGCGGGGTAGAGGCGAGTGGGCGGCCGACGGCGCGCCGGGAAGGCGCCGGCTCCGAGCCGAGGGTGCGGGTCCGGAGCGCAGGGTGGGTGGCCGGTGCTCAGGCCCACCGCGCCCACCGCGCCCCCTCCGCGGATTCCAGCTCTGCTCCTCTTCCCTGAGGACACCCGCGAAAGGCGGGGTCCCCGCCCCACGTGTGCGCCAAGTTCAGGGGACACCGGTGGATCCCCCCTAGAGGCTCAGACTCTTAGGGGTTTCCCGCCGCTCAGCTTATCCTGACCGCTGCCGTGGGGCCCATGAAGAGCGTGAGGGAGCCGGTTAAATGACCCTGGTGCGTGTAGGGAGCACGACCGCTGGACCCCCAGGAATGGCCTGGTGGGCCTGTGGCTTGCTGTGCACTCGAAACTCATAGGATTCAAATAAACATCATAAGTATCGCATAATTTAGCAACGACTATGCTTCACTTAGCATTATTTGAAGTTTCCTACTTCATCATCGACAGAGTTTTGCCCTTTGTGTTTATACAGTTGTCACAAATTGGCGGATCCTGTGCACAGAGAAATTTCCTTTTTCTAACTCGACTCTTTTTTTTTTCTCTCATATCCATTAATCTCCAAGTCAGGTGAGGGCACATACTACAACTCTTTATTCAACTGTTATTCTTTAAATACAGAGGATGCATTTTAGACCCACTTATTTGTCTCTTCTTTTTTTCAGTCTAGGTAAGATGAAGAGAGGTACTGAAGGTGAATAGAGAACTAAGAATTACATTGGATTTTGAATTAGAGTGGGTTTGGGGAGGATTTTGCCTCACGACACTACTGCAATTCAAGCTTTATCCGATATGACTTGAAGATAGACTATTTAGATTCCCAAGTGCATATCATGCTTGAGTCTGAAGCCATGATCTATACTTCAGATTATATAATTCTAAAGAATTTGCCACATAACTGTGAACAAACTTCCAACAGTAATTAGAGGAACTGCAATTTATGTGTGGCTTCCTTAAATTCAGGGGGCATTTCCTTACATTTTATTTTTCTTTAAATTATGTTATTGATCATGCTATTACAGTTGTCCTGATCTTCCCCTTTAGCCGCCCCCCTCCACCCAGCACCCCTGACTCCCTCAGGCAATCCCCACACCATTGTTCATGTCCACAGGGCATGTGCCTTAAATTCTTTGGCTACTCCACTTCCCATACTGTACTTTACATCTCCACGGCTAATCTGTAACTTCCTATTTGTACTTCTTAATCCCCTCACCTCTTTACCCATTCTCACCCACCCCACTCTCATCTGGCAACCATCAAAATGTTTCTGTATCTATGATTCTGTCTCTGTTCTGCTTGTTTGCTTAGTTTGTTTTTTAGGTTCAATTGTTGATAGATATATATTTTTTCTGACATTTTACTGTTTATAGTTTTGGTTTTCTTCTTTTTCTTAAATAAGTCCCTTTAACATTTCATGTAATAATGGTTTGGTGAATATGAACTCCTTTAGTTTTTTTCTTGTCTGGGAAGCACTTTATCTGCCCTTTGATTCTAAATGTTAGCTTTGCTGGGTAGAGCAATCTTTGCTGTAGTTTCCTTCTTTTCATGACTTTGAATATTTCCTGCCAATCCATTTTATCCTACAAAGTTTCTTTTGAGAAACCAGCTGACAATCTCATGGGAACTCCCCTGTAGGTCAGTAACTTTTCTCTTGCTGCTTTTAAGATTCTCCCTTTATCTTTAACCTTGGCATTTTAATTATGATGTGACTTGGAGAGGGCCTCTTTGCATCTATCTTGTTTGGGACTCTCTGGGCTTCCTGGACTTGCATGTCTATTTCCTTCACCAAATTAGAGAAGTTTTCTTTCATTATTTTTTCAAATAGATTTCCAATTTTTTGGTCTTTCTCTTCTCCTTCTGGCACCCCTATGATGCGAATGTTGGACCTCTTGAAGTTGTCCCAGAGTCTGCTTGTAATATCCTCATTTTTTTGGATTCTCTTTTCTTCTTCCAAATTTTTTATTTGATTCTCAGCTTCATCTACTCTATTGTTGTTTCCTTGTATATTGTTCTTTGTTTCAATTAGTGTATCCTTAGTTTCTGACTGGATATTTTTTATGCTCTTGAGGTCCTCACTAAGTTCCTTGAGCATCCTTATAACCAGTGTTTAGAACTCTGCATCTGATAGATTGCTTATCACCATTTCGTTTACTTCTTTTTCAGGAGTTTTGATCTGTTCTTTCATTTGGGCCATCTTTCTTTGTCTGCTCATTTTGGCAGCCTTCCTGTGTTTGTTTCTATGCATTAGACTCCGTGTCTTGGTAGTATGGCCTAATGTAGTAGGTGTCCTGTAGCGTCCAGTGGCACAGCCTCCCCTATACCCCAAGCTGGGTACTGGAGGTGCACCCTTCCTGTGGGCTAAGTACACTCTTCTTGTAGTTGAACCTTGGAAGATCAATGGTAGGGATTTACTCAGGCCTCTCAGCTGCAAAGATTGGCTGTGACCACTGACCACCAACCTCCGCCCTCTGTGGAGGATCAGCCGTGCAGGGTCAGGATGGTGGTTTGCAGCTGTCCACTGAGTGGACTGGCCCTGAGGTTTCCTTGGTAGTGCAAGCCAAAGTCAGCCTCAGCCTGCCTGAGCTATAAAGCAAATTGAGATGGCTGCTATTTGTGCTGGGTTTGAGATACCCAGGCGAAGCTAAGCTATGGATCTAGGCAGGCTGCTGCTACTGGCACACCTAGGGCTCACTGAAGCTAGGTGTTTCTTGTTTGAGAGGATTTAGGAAGTTGTAAAGCATGAGCCAAGATCAGCCATTGATATGGAAAAGCAACTTGGGTGGGCCCATAAGTTGGGTGGGGCTGAGTCTCTGGGGATCTCCAAGGAAGGTCAATGTTAGCCAGGTTAATGGAGTCTCAGATATGGCACCAGCTTGCCGGCTCTGTTGGGGGGAGGGTTTACAAAAGAGACAATGGCCTCTGTTCACCTTGATGCCAGGCACTTCAGTTCCTCCCTGTATACCACTGGTGCCTTTCAAACTGCTACACTGGTGCTGGAGTTCAGAGGGAGTGACTCTGAGTAGGTGAGTCCATGTCTGGGTTCTTTAAGAGGAACTGGTTAGAGCTCCAGCAGTTTCTTCCACCGACTCAACCCCTGCCGATGTTTGTAGCCAGAAGTTGTGGGGAATTGTCTTCCTGGCACTGGAATCCTGGGGTAGAGGACGTGTTGTGTGGCTGGGACTCCTTACTCTCGAGATATCCCTCCCAAATTTGTATCTACCACACCTGGGTGAGGCATCAGCCCATTCTGTGCCTGCACCACTCCTACTAGTCTGGATGGATGTGGTTTCTTAATTCTGTAGTTGTTGGACTTCCATTCAACTTGATTTCTGATGGTTCTGAGTGATGGTGGTTCCATATTTCAGTTGTAATTTTGATGTGGTTGTGCAAAGAGGCCAGTCATGTCTGCTTATACCACCATCTTGACTGGGAGTCCTTCCTTATATTTGAAAATGACACTTAAAAACTTTGCCCCACAAGTAAAGGTTAGAATATTCATTTTTAATGTCAGTTACCACTGCATGGTCTTCTTTTTTTATAAAGAATATGAATCTAATACTTCATACTTCAAAATGTCATAATCCTACAGAACTTTATAAGCAATGATATTCAGTGGCATATGGATATAGATATAAATATAAAGTACAGCAGATACAAATCAGCACATTGCCAGTGGTCCTTTCTACATTTTCATTGTGATCTATATACAAAGCAATCCACACAATAAGGCACAGAGAAGCTAGAGAAGTTCCTCCCTTGTAACAAAATCAACAAGTGATCAGTGTATCTCTTAATTAAAGCCATATTCACAGTGCTGAAAAATTTCTCAGCCAAAAGGAAGTTTTGTGTCAATAAACTCCCAAGAGAAATGACATCATTCTGGCGTGAGAGACAAATACCTGGTTATCACCATAGTTAAACTTTTTTTTCTTTTCTTTTCTTTTTATTTCTTTTTGAAAAACAGACATCTGGAAACCATTACATTTCCAGAATAAATTTGTCCTCCTGCTGTGATGAATACACACACACACACACACACACACACACACCACTGCCACCACCACCTCTCACAAATATTTTAAGAAAAGAAGGTGGATGAGCCACATTTAACTGATATGAGACTGGGTGCTTTACCTTTATCATCTGAGAGCTGCAATTTAATAGCTTGACTTCTCAGGATACTAGAGGATACAAATGTATTCACAAACTATTGAAGGGCTTTTTCACTTAAAATTCATTTTAGGGGCACACTGTAAAGCTGTTCACTTTGATTAATCATACCTATAGACACAGTTCACATCTCTATTTTCCATTATGTTTCCAATTTCAAGCTTATAGTCTAAAAGTTGTTGAATATTCAGCGAAATGTCTAGTTGATGTTTATACCTTCCTAAGGTTTTATGTAAATAAAATTTTAAAATAAAGTTTTTTGTTAGACAATAGGACCCAATATTTTGTTTGGAAATATGATTCTGTTCATGCAGAAAGGGCACACATTTTGTTCATCTGTTTTGTCTATACAGAGATTATGAGTGCAAGTTTTGGAATTGGACAGACTCCGTTTTAAGGTCTGGCTCTACTACTTTCTACTATGGGAAAATCATTTCACCTTTCTGAGCCTTGACTTTATTAGTAATATGAGGATGATAAGAGTAATTTTATCTCCTCAGTAAAACAGAGGTAGTAATAGTGCTTATCTCATGAAATTGCTATGATGATCAAATGAACTTAGTAGAATACAGGGAACATGACATCAATTGACTGCTATTGTCATCATTATTATCTCTAACACAGATATACAAATGCCAATGTTTTATATTTCATTTGTACTCATATCAAGAATGGTCAAATTTTAGAGTTTGGGTTTTTTTGTAGAAGTTCTAAAAGTAACAGAAGAAATCATAAAAGAAATACTAAGATATAGTTATATTCAGAATTTTAAAAAACTGGGCTGGCAATAATGTAAATTATTGACCCAAACATTAAAAAAAAACCAAAAACAAACAAACAAAAAAACAACCCTACCGAACCAGGTAATACGGTGTTTTTTCCAAAGATAATATATTATAATGAGATGAATGCTTGTTTTTT